ATCATTTCAAAACCAACCTGATACATAGAAATTAAGAAAGTTAATAGTGTAGAGCGCCAAATACTAACACAGACACAATCACACAAAGCTAGCTAGTAGCAAAATTTGTGGCTGATTACATTGTGCCTAGTGCCATGGTACTTGTTTCCAGGATTACCCAATCCAACAATCAGCCAAGGTGTATACTCCACTTTCAATCCATTGTTATTATCCGGCAAGGAAGCTTGCAAGGAGAGCCTTGTTAGGACTAGACTCCTTCGCGGACAACATGGGATTCTCGGATAGAAACCACATGTGTTTGAGGCAGAGACTGAATGCAACATTGACCTATACACAAAAGGAATATGGTTGATATGGCTAAGAACAAACACCAGAAATTTTCTTTCTAGATGCTGAGTGACATGAAAAATGGGATAAATCATTCATTTCCTCAGAAACCAAATTAAGCCCACAATGCTATATGGATGCAAGTAGGGGATGGCAGACAAGTCTCTTTGTTCTATGATTGGTGGACTGGAGATGGAAGATTCTGTGATGTGATGCAAAAATCTGAGATTGCTACTTGGGGTCATGAGCTTACTGTTAGTCAATGGTGGAAAGGCTCAGATTGGATAATACCAGATAGTTTTGTAAGAAGACATCTGGTCTTGGCTCAGTTAATAAAGCAACATAGACTGACTCAGGTAGGGGATTTTGTTGTCTGGAAACCTGCAAGCAGTGGACTGTTTACTGTCTCAAGTTGTTATGATCTTTTGCGTGTGAAGCGTCCAAGAGTTGAATGGCACAATATTGTCTGGGCAGGGAGTATATATCCTCGTCATAGTTTTATCCTTTGGCTAGTTTTGCGGGGAAGATTGAAAACTAAAGCTTTACTTGTGTCTAGAGATATGAGAATAAATCAGACTTGTTTTCTTTGTTGTAGCACAGAGGAGACATGTGAGCACTTATTTTTTGAGTGTAGCTTCGCAAAAGAAGTTTGGAGAATGGTGTTTGTGGTTTTGAATATACAAAGAGTACCAAAGCCTTGGACAGTTGAGTGGAGATGGCTAAGGAGGGCATGTAGAGGCCGTAAGTTTCAACAGAGGAAATTGAAGATGGCTTTGGCTGCTACGGTCTATATGGTTTGGCAGGAACGAAATCGACGGTTATTTCAAAGGAAATATGCCAATGAAATTTCTATATATAATCAGATAATTTCCTTTTTGAATCTAAAATTTTGAGAGTTTTGATATTTCCCTGGGTATGCCTGGGAGTATAGTGTACATATGCTTTATAGATCAATGGAAAAACTTGCCATTTTCCAAAAAATAAAAAATAAAAAATAAGCCCACAATGAAATTGCTCATCAAAATCAATAACAAAATAATGATACTAATCAGCTCATATTACAGAAGAGGTCAGTGAATTAACCATTACCCAAGAAGTAGAAGACCCAAAAGAAGATGGGGTTTGAAGGATTAGAAAAAAAATAATTACAAAAGAGAAAAGATTAAAGCTTTTTGCCAAGTGAAACATCAAAAATGAGAAACAGAAATGCAGAACATAACATGTTTCCGGAACTGAAAACGAAAAAGAAGAGGAAAAACAGAATAGTGGTATCTACATATAAGAAAAACAAGTCAAATGACGAAAAGTGCATACCTTTTCGTGAATTGGGTACTTCAATTCGAAGAAGAAAAGGGCTTCAAGAGAGAGGAGGGAAGAGGGAGAAGCAGAGTGGAAGTCTGTTTTGATGCTGAGGGTTAAGGTTTTGTTAGGCTTTGCCTGATGGATATTTTTGGTGTTTCGATTTACACCGAAAAATCACTGTAAGACTTTGGGCTAGCTAATGGGCTTTCGGCCCTTACCAATTCCATTTCTTTTACCCTCATCCATTTAAAAAAAAAATTATTATTATATTCTAGATAATTATTATTATATTTTTTTAATATAATTATTTATTATATGTTTATATTATATTTTTAAAAAATTTATTTATTTTTATTTTTTAATAAGTTAAAGAATATTTTGATCAACTAAATAAAAATATGTGATATTAATAATTAAAAATATGATAATAACATCATATGAGAAAAAGAGAAAGAACTTCAATACTTTAATTAATTGGTTTTTGGAGCAAAGGAATTTATGTTACTTGTTACTTATTATGATGAGAATAAATGGAAATTATTCGAAAGGAAAATAAGGTTAAGTTCCAATTCATTCCATAGGTTGGAATTAAGAAATTACAAAATTTTTTAAAGATATTATTATTAGGAGATTAATCCTCCATTTCTTATATTTCTATCTACTCATTCACGGTTCAATTTTGGAACTTTCAATTTAAACTACCACCCTTTCGGTGTTAAAATTATGTATCATATCAATATTGATATCCAAATATTGATAGAAATAAATTTAAAATGGATCCAATTTATGAAATGAAATTTATCTATTCAAAAATTGCAGCTAACATATTAAAGTCAGAATTTACCAGAAAAAAAAAAAAGAAAGTTAAAATCAGAAAACCTTAATTTATATATATATTTATCAAATTGGGCAAAATGCACATTTTTAATTGCCTTTTTTTGCTCATCAAAGTGACCCAAACAAAACCATAACCCATAAACAAATCATGGCACTGCCGGGCCAAGACTAAGGTGCAAATCCAACCCCAACCCCTTTTCAATCTCACGCCCACCGTCTCCGGCGAACCTCTTCTCCGCCGGAAACACCCCTGCATGGACCCTGATATCACCCGCCAGAGCCTCTCCCCCTTCTCCAGCATAGACACGCCTTCCCGGTCCATTCCCACAAAGATACGTTCCGCCATGCAGCACATGTAACGGAGCCGCCGAGCTACCATGTGACACATAAAAGGACGAAGGGTAAGGCGCTGGCGCAACCACCGCGGGGGCAAACAGGTGCGGAGGCTGAGCAAAAGGCGAGATCATGGAATTCTGAACGTGCAGGGAGGCAAATCCACGACTGGCTTGCATTTGTTGTGCACGTTTCAGTAGTTGTCTTTCCTTCTTGTGAGCGTTCTGATGGCCACCCAAGGCTTGAGAATTCACAAACTCCCGGCAGCAGTACTGGCACTCGTATTTACGTGCTACTGCATCAGTCTCTGGCTCCGATGTCCATCCATTTGAATTTTTGGTTGAATCACTATCCAGAGCTTCGTTCTGTAAAATATTAAAGCCAAAGAGCTTTAATGGCGTATTGCCACCGGGAACCATATCAGTTTTATTGCTCCGACAATCAACTTCGGCCATAATTGATCGGAAAAAACAGAACAGAGAGAAACAGCGAGGGATTTTGGTGCTGTAAGATCAGTTAGGCTAGCCACTATTTATAAAAAAACAGATGAAGACGGGAAGAAAGGGAGACAAGAAAAGAAGAAGTTGGTTGTGAAAATACCAAGAACAAGGTCAAGGAGAGATCTAGAAAAGGGAAGAAAACACAGAGCAAGAAAACTCAGGGGCCCTTTCGGATTATATATATAACCTTTGCAAGGAGATGACTTGAATGAAAAGGTCCAAGAAAATGGAAATGATTAGGTGCGCATATGCATTAAGTTTTTGGTTTTTAAATTTGGGGAAGGCAAATAGAGATATAATTGTTGGGAACTGATCCCATAATTACATTTATTAATAAATAAATATTATTTTATAAAATAAATTTAAGATTTAAGTTTTTTTGAATCATTTTAAAAAATATTAATTTAATTTTTTAAATATATTAAATTAAAGGATTAGTTCTTGTTCACTTTACTTTCAAAAAATTAAGAGAAAAAAAATATTATAATTCATATTTTAAATATAAGATCTTTTAATATTTTTCAATAAATATTTATTAAAATGATATAGTTTAAAATAATATTTCTTTTAATCTTTAAGAAATAAAGTGGGTAAGTGTTATTCTTTTAAATTAATATAAAAATACATTCTTAAAATTATTTTTAAAAAAATTAATGTCAAAGTGTACAAAAATTGTATAAAAATTTATGTTAATTAATATATCTTTTTAACAATAAAAAATATGATTAATAAATTAATATCTATTTAAATACAAATAAAAAAATCAACTTAAAAATCATATGCTACATTTTTACCTTACTTCTCTTACTTCTCACACAAAGAAGCGTGAACCAAACGGGGGAGTCACCACATGGAGGAGTGCTATGTTGATTGGTACTATATATGCAATATTGAATCAATTAATTGTATATGACGTTTCAAATCTATTACCATCTTTGGTGCCACATGATAAGTGCACAATGAACGCACGTGTCATCAGCATCACCATGTTCTTCATGTTGATTTGTGCATCTAACTTTGTATCCACGTTCACCTGTTTTCCTTTCAACTGGCTTAATTAAGTATTTAATTTGCCAAGTCCAATCAACTTCCTCATCAAATTATAGATTAGAAAATGATTAATATATCTTTGAATTTAACATACCATCAATATCTAATAAATTAATTATTAAAATTAATTATTTTAATTTTTTTATTTTAAATTTAAATTTAAAAATAATAATATTTTTAATAAATATATTATAAAATATATTAAACCAAAAAGTATAATAATTAATGTTTTTATAAATTACAATAAAAGACAATTAACCTTAGAATCTATATTATTCACAAAATTTGATTTTAATATGTATTTTCATTAATCATCATCTCTTTTCTCAATGTTACAAACTCTTCGCAATAATTAAGGTACGTCTTGTTTCTAAGAAAAAGGAGACCATCACATATAATAGTTAAATTATTGGCAAACACAATCAGAAAATGACCTTTTAACTAGCATGATTTACAAAATAATATAAAAGATGGATTAATAGAAAGGGATGTGAATTAAATCAGGTGTTAGTGTAGGGCCGCCGCCCGACGTATGATGCTAGATTACTATAAATTAGTAATGATGATTGCGTGATTGACGTTGAGATCTAAGCTTAATTTAGTGGGGCAAGATCTTGAAGAATCTTACTAACCTCCATAATTTGAGGTTTAAAGTAAATAAGCTTCCAAAGTCATCACTATTTTTCCATGACTTTGAGTCGTCACCCATTTCACCATAAATTTGATTTTGTTTCCTTGTGTGCTGCCAAGCCAATGAGATCGTCTCTTTTCTTTAGATTTTGCTGCCATATAGAGTTAAGATACATATATAATGCATCTTGAAGGTTGAAACAGTATTCATTTGTTTATGAGCAGAAATGTAAACGCTAGCTAGCTATCAGGAAGGATATAGGTATCAATTTAATTACGGTTTATGAGAAAATGATGTGTGGACATCTGTATTTAACACCTAGGTGTACATACTCCGCATAAAAAAAAAATGAAGAACACTCGATTTATTTTGTTTTTTTTATGTAGAGGGTGCACACCCGAGTGTTAAATTCGGGTGTACACCAATCATAGTCCATGGTTTATGAGCAGAACAAAACGATTGTCAAGGCACATGCCCTTAGTATAGTGCTTATCGTCTCTATGCTGGCGTTAAGAATTTAAGAGCAACGCATGCGAAAAGAATAAGTCCAACCCTCTCCTTATAATTATCATTGTACTTTATATATGAACAATATGTAGGAAAATAATTGATATATATATAAAATAATATTTATCCATTTTACCTCTTAAAAATTAGAAAAGATATTATTTCAAAAATATGTCATTTTAATAAATATCTATTAAAAATGATTAAAATATTTTATTTTTAAAGCATGAATTAGAGTGTTTTTTTGTTATTTTTTTTCTTAATTTTTTGGAGATAAAACGAATAAGCACTAACTGCGTATATATGTGTATCTGTTTGTTCAATACATTTTTTTATATTTTTTTAATTTTATTATTAAAATATAATATAAGTATAACTAATTTAATAAATTTCTGCATGTTTTAGGCATAATCACGTTTTTAAGTTTGTATAAATTTATTTTTAAATTAAAAAATAATAATTTTTTAACAAATATATTTTGTAATGTGTTAAATTAAAAGATATACTAATTAATGTTTTCATTTGTATTTATCTCTTTTCTCCAACTTAATTCGTTACTAATATTATCAACAATTTAAGCAATTTAATAATAATTTCTCTTTTAAATAGAGTTGGAAATCCTAAATTTAATTTGTAAGCATTCGAGTGAAATGATTAATGGATTATAAAAGAGTTGCTTTTCTATCATGCATGTATATATTGTTACTAACTAGTATATGTATTACTTGCCGAAGCCCCCTTCTTGTACTAGTGCTTCCTCCTTTCTAGGCACTAACTAATATAAAAATTTCCGTAATTAAAAATAAATACTTCTTGGAAAGGTATCGTGTTTTCTTCCTGTTGTTCAATATTGAACTAATTAAACCGATCAAGACGTTAATTAATAAAGAGATATTGATCATTGATTCAATCACCAATCACAGACCCCCAAATTGCGCTTAACTACCGAGGAGAATGTGACTAATACTTAGATAACATATATACAAAAACAAAATGTAAATAGTCTCTAATATGTGGTGTTTAATTAGTGCAAGATTTCCCAATAGACTGGCTAGTTGTAATCTTTCGTTTCTTTTTTATTAAGTACTATATTAATTAATTACATCTCATATTGACACTTAAAACTTGATTTAAGGAACGTACTGATTCTAGATGTTCCATTAAGTTTTTGCAAAAGTGATTGTTCCAACCTACTTGATTTAATTGGTGAGGTTTGGATGGACTAAGTCATTATATTTCTTAAACCTTCTTGCATAGTTTTTAGCTATAGCTAGCTTGTATTATTAATCAAGGAGATCTTATATATAACTCCACTGAAAAAGCAAATGTTATATTATAAAATAGATTTAGGATTTGAGTTTTGAAATCAACATTTAAAGAATATAATTTTCTTTTCCTGAATGTATTAAATTGATTTTCAAGTATACTTTTAAGATTGTTTAGTAATAAATTAATCTTGAAGTATATAAAAATTGATCCAAAAATACTCTTAATGTAAATTTAAAAAAAAAAAAGAAAAAGAAATTAAGGAGATCTATTTGATCATCACCAAAATCTCTGGCTAGAAACTAAAAAAATATAACCCACTAATTAATAATCGGTTGGTAGTTCTTACTTAATTAGAGTAAGAAACGGACTTGTGGTTCACCTAAACACCACAGCAAAACCTAACTAGAATTTGATAAAATTGATGCTGAAACTCCCAAACTTAAGACATAATATTTTAACTTATGTTAATGTATGAATCTGAAATTATATATATTTTTAGTCGAGATCTAGAAACATGAGATGTCGTAAAGTTGGTTTTAAGGACAAAGATGGACTCAGTCATAACAGTTTAGATTTAATTACTTTAATTTTTGAAAATTATTTAATTAAGGTGTTTGATCAAGTTCAAACTACTTATATGATAATGAAATGCAGAAAATTAAAGATTGTGGAATTGGTTCTGGTTTGCCAACAAAAGTGAAAGACTAGGTTGGCTTTGGAATCATATTTAAGACAACTAAACTGATCAAAGATTATGTGATGAGAGGCTAATTAAAAAATAATTAATCATTGCGTGATTTAGTATAGTACATAACCAAATTATACGGGAATCTACTTGTATAGTACGATGTATGTTTTATTTTTTTTATTTTTTTATAATTTGTAGAAGCTTAGATAAGCTGTCTTTGAAAATGAAAGATACTTGTCTTTGAAGAATAAAAATGGTGGATATGCCTTGTTCGGTCTTAACAAACCAATGCTTAAGAAAAGCTATTTGAACATGGCAAGTGCACTTCTGTAAGTTTCAAAAGAGTAGATAGATTAAGAAGCTCCTTATTAGATATTTATAGTTTGTTCGGTTCACTTAAAAATGACTTCCTCAACAAAAGTATAACTCATAAATATATATTAGTTTTCAAAAATAAATATAAAATAAAAAGTTTATAGACTATAAAATAATTTTGGGTGTCTTATTTTACAGTCTATCCTGTAACAAACTGTAACATTAAGACTGTCCAAAGGGAGAAGAGGATCCAATATCAAGGGTTCTATCCTTTCAATGGTTTTGATTTTACAGTCCGTCCTGTAACATATTGTAAGACAATTTTTCAAATAAAATTTTCCTTTTTTTTTTTTTTTTCTATTTTTGATGGTTTTTGGGATGAACGAAGGGATATCACGTCACTTTGATGGGGAAAAGACTAATTTAAATGGTCCACGAATTGGCCCATATATAATGAGTTGGGCTTAAAAGTGAAAATTAGTTTGATATAAATTCAGTTTATGAGGATTGAGAATGAGGGAACTGCAATCTTTTCTTTCAGCGATTTGGGCTTGAGCCCGTAATAAATGGTATTCCACGTTGGTCCAACACACATTTTTACGCTTCTTTAAAATTTTCATTTTCTCGCAGCCCATTAGAGAAGTGAACCATTTCCCCAGCCATGAGCCGGTTTGGATTGCCCCTTCTCCCACAATTGTAAATTTGTAATAGTTAAAAAAATAAAAATAAAAATAAAATAAAATAAAATAAAAAATTAGTAAGTTTTAATATTAAAAATATCAAAACATTCCATCATAAT